TGAACCCAGGGGCATTTAACCACTGAGCCACTTAACCAGTCTTTTTTTTTTTTTTTTTTTTTGTATTTTATTTAGAGACAGGGTCTTAACTGAATTGCTTAGGCTTTCACTAAATTGTTGAGGCTGGCTTGTGATCCTTCTGCTTCAGGCTCCCAAGCTGCCGGGAATTGAGGCGTGCACCACCATGCCTGGCTGTTCTGAATATTTTCTGTCTGCAGTTGGTTGATTCCTCAGAAGTGGGACCCAGGAATGTAGACTACATTAGTGAAAAAATTTGAGGGCTAGGAAAGGTACTGTCTTCCAGAGAAGACTTGTGTTTGCTTCTGGTTGGTCCTTGGGCCTCTTTAAGCCAGGTTTAGTGCTTCAGGGTCCCTGGAAGATCCAGATGATTCAAACCAAGCTTTAATTCCATGAGAGGAATTGTCTACTTTCTCTTCCCCCCCCCCTTTTTTTGTACCAGAGATTGAACCAGGGGTGCTTTACCACTGAGCTACATCTCTAGCCCTTTTTTAGTTTTTTATTTTTGAGACAGGATCTCACTAAGTTGCTAGGGCCTCACTAAGTTGCTGAGGCTGGCCTTAAACCTGCAATCCTCCTGTCTCAGCCTCCGGAGCCACTGGAATTATAGGTATGCACCAGCAGGCCCATTTTACTTCTTTTGTTTTATGTAGAATCCCTCCAGTGCTTCAGAATTTCTGAGAAACAAGTCTGATGAGATGAGTTTTGTGTTTTTAATGCCTTTGATTTTTGATAGGAATGAAATAAACATTCTTTTAGAATTTTGCCTTGCATATTCTTTTTTTTAAATATATATATTTTTTAGTTGTAAGTGGACACAATACTTTTATTTTATTTATCTTGTGCTTTTTTTGTACTTTTTTTTTTTTTTTGCTTTTCATTTTTCAAATTCTAGGTGGTTTTTTTTGTTTTTTTTTTAATATTTATCCAGGCCCTCAGTTACAACTAAGCTATATCCCCAACCTCAAACTCCATTTTAAATTCTAGTCCCTCAGTGAAACTTTTTCTGAACAATATACTTTTCTCTGACTACTGTGGTATTTCATGTCCATATGAGTCCTTTGAGGTGTCTGTTATTGCTTCAGGTGTTATCTTTTCAGAGACAGGACACAAGTGAATTCTCCATCATAGGACTTTGGTAGGATTGAAACTGTTTCCTAAGTGTACTTATAGAATGTGAATGACACATTCATTTACTTAGTAGCGCCATAGCAGCTTGCCCCAAATGAGAAAACAGTTGGGTTTTCCTGTCAGTGTCTTTAATACAATTGCAGCATGGACAGAATTTGCTGTCTCTAACTTGCCTTTCTTGCCTGTCTCTTATATTTCAGTTATTCCTTTTCTCTTCCTGTATCCAGCCCACTTACTTACCTAGTCCTGTGTCCCTTCTGCCATCCTGTCTCTGATGCAAAGCTTTGTGGCTTCATGCCCTGTCAGCCTTCTTCTCATCAACCAGTGCTTTCACAGAGTTGTGTTTTCAGAAATGATTTTTTTTTTTTTTTTGTCTATGGGAAAGGAGGGCTGTCTTGACCATCCTTCTCCTTAAATTCAGGTTTTATATTTCATTAGTTTTTTTTTTTTTTTAATGTGGTGCTGAGGATTGAACACAGGGCCTTATGCATGCTAGACAAGCACTCTACCAATTGAGCTATACCCCCAGCCCTCATTAGATTTTTTTAAAACTACAAAAGTAACCCCTTCTTATTGTGGTAAGTAATTTAGTCATGTAAAAAAGTTACTCCTACTTCCATCCTAACTTTGTGAGGTAACTGACATTAACAGGTTGGTATTAGCCTAACACATCTTTCTGAATGACTTATTGGTCATTTATATATCTTTAGAGAAATATCTATTCAAATTCTTTGCTAAGTTATTTTAATTTAATTTTTTAATTCCTTGCCCAGGCTGGTCTTGAACTTGTGGGCTCCAGTTATCCTACCTCAGTCTTCTGAGTAGCTGGAACTGGGGGCCCAACTTTTCCACTGTGCCAGGCTCCTTTGATAATTTAAATTTCACTTTTTTTCTTTCTTTTCTTTTCTTTTTTTTTTTTTTTGGTACTGGGGATTGAACCCTGGGCCACTTCACCACAGACCTATATCCCCAGTTCTCTTTATTTTTTATTTTGAGACAGGGTCTTGCTAAATTGCTTAGGGCCTTATTAAGTTGCTAAGTCTGGCCTTGAACTTGCAATTTGTGATCCTTCAGTCCTAGCCTCCCAAGTTACTAGAATTACAGGCATGGGCCGGAGTACCCAGCCCTGCTTCATTCTTTTGCATGTAAATATTTAGTTGTCCGGCATTGTTTATTGAAAAATTTTTCAATGAATTGCTTGCCTTATTGCTCTTTTCAAAAATTAATTGACATTAAAGGTACAGTTTTATATCTGGATTCTGAATTCTGTTCCCTTGATATATGTGTTTATGCTTCTGCTACTATCACACACTATTGATTACTGTTGCTTCAGTAGTAAGTTTTTAGAATCTTTTGGTAATATTTACTTATTTAGGTATTTATGTTGTGCTGGGGCTCGAACCCAGGGCCTCAAATGATAGGCAAGTGCTTTACCAATGAGCTACCACTCCAGCCCTCTTTTGGTAATTTTTTCTCCCCAGTACTGAGGATTGAACCCAGGTCTTTTCCACTTCTGAACTACATCCCAATCCCCCCCTGCCTTTTAATTTTTAATTTTGAGCAAGGGTCTCAGTAAGTTGGTGATGCTGGCCTCAAACTTGGGCTCTTCCTGACTCAATGTTTTGAGTAGTTGGAATTACAGACAGGTGCCACATACCTAGCCTTTTGCAACAATTTTTTTGTGTGTGAAATCAGTTTTGAATTTTAGAAGGGTGGGATACTTTTTCTGGTTTCATAGCTTTAGAGCTCCCTCTTCTGTTGCGTTTATGAAATGTGTTCAAAATAGTGCATGATTTCTGAGATCTGGCTGTTTCTTCTGATATTTTGGGAATTTTTTTCCCTCTACTTCTGGTGTGCTTTCCATACAATCAAAAAAAAATTTTTTTTGAGGGGGGGGATACTGGGGATAGAACTTAGGAATATTCTCCCTCTGAGCTACATCCCCAGTCCTTTTTTATATTGAAATAGGGTCTTGCTAAGTTGCTGAGGCTGGCCTTGAACTTGCAGTCCTCCTGCCTCAGCTTCCTGAGCAGTTGGAATTATAGGGTATGCATCACTGTGCCTGGTCCTTTTGACAGTTTTTAGCAAGAGATAATGCAATTATTTATGGTTCATTGATGATTGAGTAAAGTGAAAATCTTTCCCCCATCCTTATCCATTAAGTTTCTTTTTTTTTTTAAGAGAGAGTGAGAGAGGAGAGAGAGAGAGAGAGAGAGAATTTTTAATATTTATATTTTAGTTTTTGGCGCACACAACATCTTTGTTTGTATGAGGATCGAACCCGGGCCGCACGCATGCCAGACCGCTTGAGCCACATCCCCAGCCCTCCATTAAGTTTCAAGAAACACCTTCCTGGGGCTGGGGATCCTCAGCACCACATACAAATAAAATAAAGATGTTGTGTCCACTTAAAACTGAAAAAATAATAAAAAAAAATTAAAAAAAAATCATTTCCCATTCTTTAAAAAAAAAAAAAAAAGAAAAAAGAAACACCTTCCTTCTGGGCGTGCTGGCATACACCGGTAATCCCAGTGGCTTGGGAAGGTGAGGTAGGAGGATTGCAAGTTCAAATCCAGTCTCAGCATCTTAGTGAGGCCTTAAACAACTCAGAGACCCTGTCTCTAAATAAAATATGAAAAAATAAAAAAGGGCTGGGGATAGGGCTAAGTGGTTAAGTGCCCTGGGTTCAATCCCTGATACTAAAAAAAAAAAAGGAAGAAAGAACAAATTTTTTTCAGGAGAAACTAGTATATATTAAAAGGGAAAGAAACTAGTGGTTTTTTTTTTCAAAATATGTTTAATTTATTTTTAAAAAATTTCCTTGGGCTGAGGATGGAATTCAGGGCTTTGTACGTGCTAGTAGGCAAGAGTGCTACCATTTAGCAACATCCTTAGCCCTAAAATCACCTTCTCCCCATACTGGGGATTGAACTCATGGGCACTCTATCACAGAGCTACACCCCCATCTTTATTTGTTTGTTTGTTTATTTATTGAAAGGATCTCACTAAGTTGCTGAGGCTGTTTTTATTGACTGAAAGGATTCCACTAAGTTGCTGAGGCTGGCCTCAAATTTGTGATCCTCTTGCCTCAGCTTCCTGAGTTGCTGGGATTATAGGCATGTGCCATTGCACCTTGCTAATTATACTCTTAAGACTAAATGCATACTTAAAAAGTTCTTGAGCTTGGTTCTGTTTAATTAGTATAACAAGTGAACTTTTAAAATAGGGCTCGTATGTCAGGTGAAGAGTACTGTTACTGCTTTTTCAAAACATTCTTGGATTGGGAATGTAGCTGAGTTTTAGAGCACTTGCCTAGCATGTGGGAGGCCCTGGGTTTGATCTCAAATACCACCATAAATAAATAAACAAACAAACAAACAAATAAATAAATAAAAACTTACGACTTCTTGTGGTAATTTAGGGAATGGACTCTTCTCCCTTTTTGATGTTTTTCGGGGCAGGGGTCAACTTTTCTTGATAGAAAGATTTTCTGTATGATTTGGGTAAAGAATCAGGGCCAGCTGTGGGCAATTTTGTCAAGATCATCCCTTGTCTCCTGGAGACCTATCTAATATTTTCAGTCACACTTTTTGTATAATTATTAACCCCATTATTGTATTCTGTGTTTAAATAAACTTTATGCGGGGAGGTTATCCTGGTTGTATGTTCCCAACTCCCAGCTGTCCTTAGACCTCTTGCCCCTGGTTACACTGTTTCAGATTACATGTTTTTTAGGAACTCTGGTAACTTTGTATCTTCTCTGTCATTTAGCATGTATGCTCAAAAAACTCTTTCCAGATAATGGACCAGTTGTCTGAGGTTTTGGGGGGTTTGTGTTTTATTTCTTCCAGGGGAGCCAGGAAGTGGGACAGAAAGTGATACTTCTCCAGACTTCCACAATCAGGAAAATGAGCCCAGCCAGGAGGACCCTGAGGATCTGGATGGATCTGTGCAGGGAGTGAAACCTCAGAAGGCTGCTTCTTCTACTTCCTCAGGGAGTCATCACAGCAGCCATAAAAAACGGAAGAATAAAAACCGGCACAGGTCAGTGACAGGGACCCCATTCCCAGAGCTTCCGTGTACTTTCCTAGAGTAAAACACTATAGGATTGTTTCAGAGCCTTCTACTGTGGATGGGCAAGAATTCCTTTGGGCCAAATGAAATGGGCTAGTGTTCTCTCTGAGGGAGGACTTGGTGGGTATCAGAGTAACCCTGAATGATTCGGGTCAAAGGTCAGGGCCAGCTGTGGGCAATTTTGCCAAGATGGACTCCAGGGCATCTATGTATGTAGTTTGAAACATGACACTAGGAAGTTTTGCAAAGCTGCAAAGTTAGAGGCTTTTCATTCTGATTCCTGCCTTATGAGAACCAATGTGACTCGTCTTTTTTCTATTCTAATTACAAGTTTTTTTGATTGCTTATGGTTTTTCTGTTTTGGTATTTCTCTGCAATATGCTAACTTCAGATATTGGAAGACAATATAAAGCCTATAAAATATGACAATGCTTTCCTAGAGAACATTTGTCCACCATGTTTTTTGCAGTACATAATGAGTTAGGCCTGACATCAGTGGACAGAGAGGTCAGGTGTCTTCCAGAGAGGATTTTTAGCTTTCACTCTCTCTGGGGTTTGTATGACAATGCTGGGGCCTGTTAACTCAGATAATTGGAATTTACACAGCTTCATTAAGAGAGGATAATAAATAGTTTCTACAGTGAGGAATCTTGTCCTGGCCTCATACTTTCTGAGAGGCATGGAAACTGGATTTGCATTGACTGGCTTTGTCCTACTGTCCTTGGAGGCCTGCATGCAGAAAAGGTGAAAGGGGCATGCAAAGGTTGGGTGGGGTTCTTTGTCCTCCAATTGGCTTCGATATTGTGTTATTTTAGAAACCTGTAGGATATTCCTTCATGTACCCATGGTATTAAAACTGTTGGCTTTATGGATATGGATGGGGATATGTAGAATTTATTCTCACTGGTTTGAACCTCTTTGGCATTAGCTGATTCTTTAATTTACTTAAGAATGTTTTTTGTTGTTGATGGTAATGGTGAAATAGTATTTCCTGCAAATAATGACAAAGGACTGCTGCTTAACATTTTTCTGCAAACCAGAAGTCACCATGCCAGCCTCAAAACTGTAGTAGGAAATAGCAGAATTTGCTTTTGCTTTTTTGGGGGGCTATGGATTATATGACCACCGTGATGGTATTGGTGCTGGCTTCTAAACAGCAGATGCTTATACTCTTAAAAAATTCATTAATTTATTTTTTGTTGTTGGCATCAAACACAGGACCTCATGCTTGCTAGGCAAGCACTATTACACTCCCCTAGCCCGTTAAAGAAAAATTTTTTAAATTGTCAAGATAATTAAATATTGTGTTTTATGTTGCTTTTATTTAATTTACTCCAGTGGGTTTTTTTTTTTTTTTAAATGTGTGTGTGTATGTGTAGTACTAAGGTCCAGTGTCATTTTAAAGTAATTCTTTTCCTATTTCAGAGTCTAGAGTAGGGACAATATTCTTGAAAAAAAAGTCTGTGACTTTTTCCATTACTGATAAGTTTACTCTCTAGGCAGCTATTTATTTCAGGTAATACTTCATTTTCATTAATGACCCGACCATTAGTGACTGAAGATTGACAAAAGGGAATTGGACAGGCATGAAACTTAATTAACTTTCTTCTTGAAGTTTTCTAGTAAATTTCCATAGGATCTATATTTCTTGCTTATTCTTTCCTCTGCTGGCCTAGGAACTAATTCCTCCCAGAAAAACACTAGCATTTGTAAAGATTTTTGTGTTAGTTATTGCTTTCATCAATGATGTCTCCAGTTCAGAGAGCAGGGTCCTAATTTTTATTGCTTTCCCTGTCTTTCCTTTCTCCTTAAGGGCTTATCTGCCTGAATGAAGGGGGGTGGGGACCTGATTTGCTTTCTTTCTTGTGAAACCAGGTTCAGGACACCTTAGTAGCATCTTAGGGGCCAGTTAAGATGCTTGGGTTCCTGCCATCTTTAGTGAGGAATTGTATCTGGCCCAAATCCCTTGCCCCTGGCGGATGGCTTAGTGGTGCTGACCGATCAGGGTGAAGATGGAGTAGGTCCTCTAGGCATATTGGTAGGTCAGCACCCGGTACATAGTTGTTTCTCCTCCAAGGTGCTGATAGTAGACTATTTTAAGAAATGTTTGAGTATACTATATGCGAGGCACTGTCTAGTGGTGAATTAAGATGGTACTTTAGCAGAAGGAAATAACTTGAATTTGCCCTCTTCTGGAATATGAAAATATATCAGTTTTTCAACATTCATAAATGATCAAATGAATGCTTACATTTGTATGTTATCTGAACAATAATTAAGTCTTAGTGTCTTTTTTTCTTTTTTTTAAGAGAGAGTGAGAGAGGAGAGAGAGAGAGAATTTTTAATATTTATTTTTTAGTTGGCGGACACAACATCTTTGTTGGTATGTGGTGCTGAGGATCGAACCCGGGCCGCATGCATGCCAGGCGAGCGCGCGAGCGCGCTACCGCTTGAGCCACATCCCCAGCCCCAAGTCCTAGTGTCTTTAAAGAAAAAATTGAAAGAATAACTCACAGCTGTTAGAGTTTTACTACTATAGCAAGCCCAAGTTTAACCAAGATTAACCAAGTACACTCTTATTTATATGTTTATTTCCAGTGCTAGGGATTGAACATGTTAAGCAACATACTGTACCAATGAGCTGCACCCTGTTTTTTAATTGTCTTTTTTTTTGGCGGTGGGTACTGGGGATTGAACTCAGGAGCACTCAACCACTGAGCCACATCCCCAGCTCTGTTTTGTATTTTATTTAGAGACAGGGTCTCACTGAGTTGCTTTAATACCTCGCTAAATTGCTGAGGCTGGCTTTGAACTCATGATCCTCCTGCTTCTGGCTCCTGAGGCTCTGGGATTACAGGCTTGTGCCACCACACCTGGCTTGTCTTATTTTTTTATTGTCTATTTTAGTGATGAACAAAATTAAAGTCAGGCTGAAAGTAAAATATTTTTTAATTCCTGGTTTGTACACTGTATGCTTTCCCAAATGTCATAAATGAAACTATTGCATAAGGGATATGGCAGTTAAACTTCCAATTTCACTCTTGTAAACATGGTCTAGGAGGAAAGCTCTTTGCATATTGTTTTGCCCCTTTTCTACAGTGTGAAAGGCACTGGAGTCAGCTGTGGAGCTGGTGTCGTGCTCCAAGTAGATGTTTGCTTTGGGGCTCTGCCCGGACTATCATCTGTTATAGCAGTGATGGCACAGAATGGCCTCATCTCTACTGCTCCCTTCCAGATCCTTGAGGCTGGGGTGCTTATGGATGCCAACTTTCCTTTGTTTTAAAAAGGGTTCTGAAAAAAGGGGGGGGGGTTCTGCAGACTTTGGTGTTAAATGTCACCTTGATATAAACAATTAATTGTCATCACCATCTTATGGGGCCGAATAGTGTTTTACTCTTCAGTTTCTGGAACAAGACTCAACCCTACAGCATGTTCATTCAACCCCTGACTTCTAGGATGAATGCTGTAGCAATGGAGCACCAGCTTCCTGGACACATTTAGAACATAAAACTTGAGTACAAGTTGCAAAATGTTTTCCTTTTTTTAAAGTTTAAAATGTTTTTGTCATCTTACTTTAGCGAAAGCCTATTATGCTGAGTTTTATAAGCACCTTTCATTATGTGACTAAACCTTTCTTTCTCTGTTTCTTCTAATGCCCTAATTATATTTTATGATACAAATATTTTGAAAGTTCTAACTCTGAATCTGGCAGCTAATAAAAAGGCTCCAGGTGTCTGTAGTTTTCTAATGATATAACTTTTTCTTTCATAGTCTATTCTTTGGCTGTGGAATCCATTGAGGGAAGGGATTCTTCTGACCACAGAATCTTTGGTGCTTTCATGTTTAAAACTTATGGCTTAAGATCTTAAAGCTGGTTTTGTTTCTATAAATCTTGCTAGGGTGGCTAATCGACTAATTTATTCAATTAGTGTATTAATTTCTATTGCTTTCTTCCTTTCAAATGCTGCCCCTCAGCCCGTCTGGCATGTTTGATTATGACTTTGAGTAAGTTTGATTTGAATTAGTATTTGTGCTGTGTTTTTTAGTGTGTAGACACCAGTATGCCTTTTTGAGACCTTTCTAACCCATAGTTTATCTGTTTAATTGTAGGTATGTATATTAGGTTAGGCTGGGAAGTTTTTTTTAAAAACAGAAAAACGTGATGGAGGTAACATTTTATTTAATAACTTAAGCAAAATTAAGTAAACTTCACTTTTATGCATTTTAATTTCTTTTTAAATAGATAACCTTTAATTCATATTTAAATTGATTTTCTGGCTTTGCTTCATAAGGAGATTAATAGTTAAAGATTTTGATATTTTGCTTTGGAAAGATTTAAAAAGTGAAATTCATGTAATTTCTTTTGTGTTTCATGTCCAGAAATACAAACTCCTAGTCTCTCTTCTATTCTTAATCACCACATGTCTCAGTAATTTTCAGTGATATAGTTATAAAGCTAACATATTAACATAGAGCATGCCTTCTTAATCCAATCTCTTTAACATGTAACTTTGGAATATTTTTAAAAGATTAAATGACTTTTGCAACTGCTGTATATTTCTTTTTAAATTATCCAAGTTTACCTTATGGCAAAAGTATCTGCTCATATTTTTTAATACTTGCTTAATATCTGGGTAAACAACTAAATATGACATAGTCTAATGAAGAATGTGGATTTTACTTAACCAAATAGCCTTTGTTATAGCTTATGCCCTATGCAATAGCTAATTGTTGGACCCTTTTTCTGTAAATTAAAATGCAAATATCTTTTATCTTTCCTATCACAGAATTGATCTGAAGTTAAACAAAAAACCACGAGCTGTAAGTATCAGCCAGACTACTTCAGAAAGGCTGGAAATTTTGTAGATGATTAGGAAAATGTATCATCTTCAGAGTCTGAGTGTCTCTAATCTGGGTCACACTCTAATTTTAAAGTCTGGGATATCCATTTGTATATACTGCAACTTTTAGATAATATTTGCTTTATTTTGGAGAAAGAGCAGTTGCACATATTTTTACCGAAGAAAAATTCCCTCTGATTAAATAACAAGTTGTTGATACTAACTCCTTTTTTTGGGGAGGGCTGATGAGTTTAGGTCTAGCAAGAGCAGAGTTGATGTTTCAGTTGATTTTCCTTATAGACTCAGAAGACAGGCCATTTTCCGTTGTGAAATGTTCTACATTACATTTGAGATATCTTGGAGTATAGAACAATCCCCTAGCACAGTTGTTTGTGAGATTTTTTTTTTTTTTTCTCTAGATTGAAATGAGTGTTTTGTTGAGTAAGTTGAGATTTTTCTTTCTTTCTCTTTAGGACTATTAGAAGACTCATTAGTGCAGAAGCCTCCAGGCTGTAGAGCTCTGCTTCCCTTCTCCGACCTCATACAGATAAAGATAAACATCCCTCACCTGAGTGCGTGGCCATCCACCTCTGCTCTCCCAGACCCAGTGCCTGTGACTCTGAGTAGTTTGTTCTAAATGTTGTGACAAACAAGTCATTTCTGTAAGACATCGGATCATTTGCTTTGTGTCATTTTTAGTAACAGAGCTGCAGGAAGACCAAGACATGGTTATAATCGCAGCAAGTTGTTAACTGTGCATTTCTCCCTTCTTAGAATGAACATTTTTCCCCAAACTGGCTGCTGCCAGCCACATCCGTGATCCCTGTTGAGAAATATTCTCTGGTTTTCTTTTATGCTAAGTAGAACACAAGTCACAATGATGTAGGCTGTAAATATCTGGCATTCTCTTACTTTGTTGTGTTTTATTTTCTGTTGTTATTTTACCATCTCATTTTCTTTGGGGACTTTTTGTAATGCCTTTGTACAGCTCATACCTTCCTGCCAACATATCTGGTAATCTATTTCATGCAGTTGCCAATATTCCAACTGAAAATAATGTGGCTTACCATAGTAAAATGGGAAACTTGGCTCTTTGTTTTCTTGCAGGAGGAAGGTAAAGAGTGTTTATTTAAAAATTACCTATCTTAAATCTTTGAGTTGAAAGCAGTTTCATGTTCAAGGAACAGGAAAAGCGGAAAAACACAAGTTAAAATCAGTTCTTTTAAAATAGATATTTTTATTCTTTTGTATAAATAAAATTTCACAGGCTTTGACTTCTCATGCTTTACTTTTAAACCTGAGATTGTTTTTTTACTTATTTATTCATATCATGCCTTATTGGAAATTTCTTTTTTCTCATCTTTTTGTTAGTAATCACCTGATTAAATATTGCTGTAAAAATCACCAAGGCAATGGAAAGTCTCAAAATTCCACCAGAAGCTGATAATGTAAGGTTCTTGAGCGGAGTGAAAGGTAGCATCAGCAGAGCCAACACTGCCTCAGGGACATTGTCCTTGCAGGGGTCAGTAGGCAGAGGAACTTGCTAATGATTGTGCTTGATTCAGTGCAGTGGTCACCTACTTTGGCAGCAGATTGTAATCACCTAGAAACCCTAAAAATGCTGATGTCTGGGCCCTGCTCCCAGAGACCCCACGGTCCATACAGCCTGCTTACTAGGATTTCTTTTCAAAGGGTCCTGGTGATGCTGATAAGAAGCCATGTGGAGAGCCACTGCATTAGGAAACTGAATACTTTGATTAAGTGCTATGCTGTGAATCATTCTAAGATTTGGGCCTTGCCTTTCCGTGACTCTATTTAGTCATAGTCCTTTATGTATGCCCATCTCTTTGTAAGAAGAAATATGTTCATTGTGATCTCAGTGGAGCTGAATATGGATGGCATCTGTTTTCAGAACAAAGCTGCCTTGTCAGGTGTGCAAAAGCTTTCACTTTTGTTCTCAAATAAACTTTTTTTTTTTTTCTCTGTGATGATTTAGACATCTTTGGCTATGTCTTTGGCAGCAGAACTCCAATGTTGCAATGTTTTAAGGAAATAGTTTCTTAGATTGTTCCTTTAAAACAAAAACCTTGAAGTATTCTGTGTCCTTCTTTGTCAGTTCATCTCCTTTTCCAAGAGGGAAGAGTGGGATTTCCTGCACTTTCCTTACCTCTAAGGAAAGTGCTGAGCTGACTTTAAAATATCTCTGACACTCAGAGTTTGGCATTTGCTAGAGATGCAGTAGTATTGTTGTTTAAAAGGTATGTTATTTATTTTGTTTTATTTATTTTTACAATGCTTGGGGTAGAACCAGGGCCTCAAGCACATTTTACTGCTGAGCTACACTCCCAGCCCTTCTAAAGATATTGTTTAAAAGATATCTATGCCAGGTATGGTGATACACACCTATAATCCCAGTAACTCATGAGGCTAAGGCATGAGGATCACAAGTTCAAGGCTAGCCTCAGGAATTTAGGGAGGATCTGAACAACTTAGAGAAACCCTATTTCAAATTTTTAAAAAATTAAAAGGACTTAGGGATATAGCTCAGTGCTAAAGTGCCCCTGGGTTCAATCCCCAGTACCAATAAAAAATAAAAGTGTATCTATATGATTACACCTGTGTGTATATAAAAATCATGATTATGGGCAGGCTACTGGCTTTATAGCTATATAAAGTTTAACCGCTGATTAGCAGACCTTTCAGTTTTTCTGTAAGTTGGCCAGGGATACTGGTCTGAGAGATTACTTAGTTTCCCTACATGGGGATATTTTAGAAAAAAGCACCAAGGGGTGCACCATTGTGCTTGTAATACTTAACTTTGGTAATTAGTTAGATTGCTTGTGAGTGAATGTGCCAACCTGAAGAGACATTAATGTCAATGGATGGATAACATTGGTAGCATGTGCAAGGCTCTAGGTTTAGCACTGAAGAAAAAAGCAAGTCTATCCACTGAGTGGCCTGTGTTCTCCCACTTTAGCCCTGCTGCAGCCTCTTAACTGGACCTTCTGTGAGGACTACTGAGAAGATGCTTCCTCCCAGGCCTGCCCTCACTGGCTTAGTTTTTAAAAAAAATATTTTTAGTTGTATAAGGATACAGTCCCTTTATTTTTATGTGGAGCTGGGGTTGAACTCAGTGCCTTACATGTGCTAGGCAAGTGCTCCCAGCCCTCAGTTGGGTTTTGAGTAGTGCTTTGCTACACATTATAGGTTACTGAACAAATTGGTTTAAAGAACTAGAGCTGATTGAGGAAGCTGTGTCCTGAATATATCCTTCCTTCCTTCCCTTTTTTCCTATTCCAGAGGGACTAAAGTGGGAATGGGAAGACTGAGGGGGCCGTACATGTTTGTTTCTGCCATCTGGGTACACTTTCTGTACTTTACATTTCTCTTAAACATGGGAATAGGTTTTCCTTTGCTCCTCTTAGTAGATATGACGTTAGAATAAAAATTCAAGGCCCTTGTAACATTTTTGTCTCCTACTAGGAGCATAGTGCCAGCACAGAGTTCCTGGGAGTCTCAGGTGAACTCAGCCTCTCTGAGGACTGGGAAAATGGTTCATTCTATTTAAACGTAGAATGTTTTAAACCCATCATATGAACAAGTTGAAGATGGAGAGCAGGAGTAAACCACAGAGTAGAAGCCTGGAAGCCATTTGGGGCCTAGGGGAGGGCTATGGGCAAGGCCAGTGGGAACCGATAGAGGCCTTCAAAGCTGCTGTGGTGATCTGGAGAGGCCATATATCTTAGGGGCCTTGGAACACAGAAAGAAATTGATCAGTCATGACATGGGTCAAACATTTTCCCCACAAATGAGTTCATACTATTTGCTTATAAGATCCTTTGTTCTGTAAGAGAAGGAAGCAGTATTTCTGCCTCCACACTTGAGCCCTTGGTTTCTGGGTACTGTAAGTACTCTAAATATTCTGTGAAGAGTGAGCTTGACATCTTGACCCATGCAGTAAATAAGAGCATTGAAATGAGTGTTAAATAGCCTACACTTGCTTGCAAGTGGTTACATGTATTGTTTTGAAATACCGTTTTTCATTGCATAATCATCACAGATTTTATGCCAAAAAAATTTTTTTTAAAGTGGGATGCAACTTTATGTGAAGCCCCTCTCTCTTTTAAAAAAGAAGTCATGCTCGTATTAACTTAAAAATTATTTATTACTAAACTATCTTTGGTGTAAGATTAGAATGCATGGGATACTCGTGAATATATGTTACTGCATCAGTGATGATTATGTGGTGAAATACAGCACTCCTCGTTTTTGTATTCTAACTTTTCTGTCCCTCAGCCTTCTCTGGATTTCTGAAGCAAAGTCACATCTGAAGTCCTGACTCCATGCTGTTTGGGTAGGAGAAAGTACAGGACTGTGTTTTGTGCACCTTTACTTCTCCAGGGTGGTGTATTCAGTGCCTAGGAAGGTGATACAGTGGTGTTGGGAAGGGATTGGAACTTTCATTCTATGACACTCTAAATGAGTATTATCATGTCTGAATCTTCTAAGTGGTAAACTTCATGATTTCAAACAGTTTTCTGGAGTAAAAGTTGTCATTACTGGTAGGGCTGTGTGCATTTGGTGTTGATCCTCAGGGTAGTGGTCTCCAAGGGAGAGAGTATGGAGGATGGCCGGGGGGTGTGGGAAGGAAAGATTAGGACTTTGATGTGTGCTTCACTTTTGAGATCAGCATTATGTAGTTCTTCACTTTGAATGTGTTGTATAATATGAGTAAATATTAGCTCGTTACTACATGCAGATAATTTATAAATAAATATTAGGTTGAACCATAAGAAATTGCTGATATTCAAATCATTTTGATCTATTAAAAATGAAAGTTATTGCCAGGCACAGTGGTACATGCCTATAATCCCAACAACTTGGGACACCAAGGTAGGAGGATCACAAGTTCAAGGCCAAGCTCAGCAATTTAGTGAGACTATGTCTCAAAAAATAAAAAGGGCTGGGAATGTGGCTCAGTAATAGAGAACTCCTGGGTTTAATCCCCAATACCACAAAACAAACAAAAACATCTATCATGGTTTAATAACACATACCTGTTATAGATGTGTATATTCCAAAATCTTTTGCACTGGAGATTGAACCCAGGGGTGCTTTACAACTGAACTACATCCTAAACCCTTTTTATTATTATTTTTTTTTTTAAATATTTATTCTTATGTTTTAGGTGGACACAATATCTTTATGTGGTGCTGAGGATCGAACCTGGTGTCCTGTGCATGGTAGGCGAGCACTCTACCACTGAGCCACAACCCCAGCCCCCCTTTTTATTTTTTATGACAGGGTCTTCCTAAGTTGCTGAGACTGGCCTAGAACTTGGGATCCTGCTGCCCCAGCCTTTTGAGTCACTGGAATTACTAGTATCACTGCACCTGATCCAAGTTTGACCTTTGGCCAGAATAGCCCTCCCTACTGCTACCCACTTACTGGTATCCCCAAAACTTATTTCTCTATCCTAGAATGGGGGACATTAAAATATTTAATTAATTTGAATTCGTATGTCAGTCTGTTAGGACTGCTATACAAAATTAGCATAAACTAAGATGGCTTATAAATCATAAACATTTCTCACAGCTCTGGAAGCTAGTACATCTAGGTCAGCTATCAGCAGATTCAGCCTCTGGTGCAGGCCTTATTTCTGGTTCTTAGCCCTTCACATGATGGAAGGGGAACAAGCTCTTTTATAAAAACATTAATTCCATGGGCTGGGGATGTGGCTCAAGCGGTAGCACGCTTGCCTGGCATGCGTGCAGCCCAGGTTCGATCTTCAGCACCACATACAAACAAAGATATTGTGTCAGCCGAGAACTAAAAAATAAATATGAAAAAATTCTCTCTAAAAAAAAAAACCCATTATTTCCATTCATGATCTGATCACCTCCTAAAGACCTCCTTCTCGACACCATCTCCTTGGGGTTTAGAATTTGAGGGAAACACAACAGTCAAACCATAGCAACATGAAACTAGCATACATTTAAATGGTCCTGAAGTGTATTCAGTGGAAAAGCAAGTCCTCCTGTCCTCCAGCCACCAGTTTCCTTCCCAAAGACAACTCTGAGGGTCTTGTGTTCCTTCAGAGGAACTTGGTACATGTATGAGCAGTGTACACACATGTATCTATTTACAAAAATGGGTAGAGGAAGTAGTAGTGTAATATGCACTATTTCTACCCTTGCTTTTTAAATTTAGCAATCTAGCAAAAAGTGTTCAGCTATTTATTTTTACTGACTCCTTAATGTTCCGTTGCATGTGGGTATCAGAATTTATACAGCCAGTGCCCTGTTGCTGACATTAATATTGTTCCCCATCTTTTGCTGTGTCAGACAGTCCTGTAGTAAATAGCCTTAACACATGTAATTTTGCAAATGAGCGCCTGTGGGATAAATTCATAGCATTGGTATTGCTGAGTCGAGGGGTATGTACCTCTATGCATGCTAGGCAAGTGCTCTACAACTGAGCTATATCACCAACCTAAGATTTTTTTTTTTTTATAATTTGTTACCTGGAACAGTCAAAACCTTCTGGAATTTTAGACTGTAGAAGGTATGACAGTGACCTCTGGTTGCAAGTCATTAAGAATCCCCTATTTTAGCCAAGTAGTGGTGCATGCTTGTCATCTCAGTAACTTGGGAAGCTGGGGCAGGAGGATCACAAGTTCAAAGCCAGTTTCAGCAATTTAGTGAGCCCCTAGGCAACTTAGTGAGACCCTGTCTCAAGATGAACATGAAAAGGGCTGGAGTGTAGCTCAGTGGTGGAGTACTTGCCTAGTACACTAGGCCCTGTCTTCTATCCCCAGAAATGAAGAAGAAGAAGAAGAAGAAAAAGAGACGGGCATAAACCAGGCAAGGTGGTTCATGCCTGGTTCACCCCACTGACTCCGAAGACTAAGGCAGGAGGTTCGCAAGTTTGAGGCCAACCTGGGCAACTCAGTGAGACTCCAGTCTCAGGGAAAAAAAA